CACCCTAAAAATACAATTTTAAAGTTATGGTTTCCCTTATCTTCCTTCTACCTATATATTTATTTCTTCTATGCTAGCTAAGTATTACTCAGGTAGCTACCATCAATTTGCTGTACCTTTTGCTAGCTCTGTTCCTAATTTGTGAAACTAGTTTTTATATGACTGGGTTTATAACACATTTTGCAACCTGTTTTTTGTCAATAGCTAATTTTGGTTTTACAATAAGTTTATTTTCATGTATGAATATTAGCTTATAAGGTAATGTTTTGATTTTACTAAAGTTTGCTTGATGAATAACAATTTTCCTATTTTTCAAAGGATCTGTGCTTGTTAACTCTTTTGTCACCAAAGAGCAAAAGCAAAGTGAAGAAATACAAAAGACCGTTTCAGAAGATGAGGACGATATTAGAGTTTTACAAGAAAAGAATAGAGAGCTGAAAACACTTGTACTTATCATTGAGAGTAAACTTAAAAATGAAAAGGAGGAGAAAGAAAAATTAGATGAACAAATTGTTTGTTTGCAACAGCAACTTTCCTGTTCTGAAGAAAAGAGTTTAACTTTAAGTAGAGAGGTCCAACAAATTCAGGCAAATTATGACAGCATAATTGCTGAACTAAGTGTGCAGAAAAATATAAATCAAGAACGGGAAGAAAAGATCATGAAATTGTCAGAGGAGATGGAAGTTGCTACAAGAAACATCACAAGCAAAGTTTCACAAATAAAATTAATGCAAACAAAAATAGATGAACTATGTTCACTTGATTCAGTTTCTCAGATCTCAAACATAGATTTACTCAAGCTCAAGACTCAGTCAAATGGTCTAGAGGAAGAGAATTTGCCAGACATACAGTTAAACCTTTCAAGTAATAATTTTTTGGCAAGTAAGCAGGTTAAAGAATATCATATTCAAGAACTCAGTAGGGAGAGTTCTTTCTCCTCTAGTATTGAAGCCATTTGGGAAGCATGTAAAGAAATGGTGAAGGCCTCCAAAAAAAGTCATAAGATCCAGGAACTGCACCAACAATTTGAAAAATTCCAGGCAGAAATAAAAGGTTATAGGGATGAAAAGTGTGTACTAAAAGTAAAGCACAGAGAGCTTGAGAATCAAGATGACCTACAAAAAGAAAGAGAAAATCTTATACAGCAGCTGAAAGAAGAACGGCAAGAGAAAAATGCTAATCTTAATGTTCAAGGACAGCTTGTAGTTGAAGGAAAGAAAGCACTTTCAGAGCTGACACAAGATGCTATTTGTTATAAGGCAAAAATAAAGGAACTTGAAAGAACCTTAGAGACTCAGAAAGAAGAGTGTACTCATTTAGCTAAGTTAGAGCAAGACATTTTGGTAAAAGAATCTGTCATCTTAAAGCTAGAAGAAAATCTGAAGGAATTTCAAGCAAATCTTAATGATTCTATCAAAAACACCAAAGATTTAAATGAAAAGGAAGTTAAATTGAAAGAAGAAATCACACAGTTAACAAGTAATTTACAGGATCTGAAGCATTTACTTCAATTAAAGGAAGAGGAAAAAGAAGCCAACAGGCAAGAAACAGAAAAGTAAGCTCCATATTTTAAAAACATGTATGCCATTCATTTTTCTATGTAGCGGTTAGTTTAGTATAACTTGTTAAAATGTGTGTATATTGAGTGAAGAACTTGAACTTTGCTCATATAAACCTTTAGAAACTAATGTTACACACAAATATCTCCTTTAAAAATAATCACATGGCTGGGCGTGGTGGCACATGCCTGTAATCCCAGCACTTGGGAGGCTGAGGCAGGAGGATTGCTCTGAGTTCGAGACCAGCCTGGGCTAGGCTACATAGTTCCAGGTCACTCTCAACTACATAGTGAGACCCTGTCTCAAAAAAACAAAACAAAACAAACAAACAAACAAAAAATCACATGAAGCTCTTTCTATAGCATTCATTCTGTTTGCATATTCAAAATTTGTGAAAAAAATAATTTTGTAGATTGCCACCAGTCCTGAGTGGTTTTTGGTGTATCACTGTAGCAGAGTGTTTTATGTTTTTTAGATTGAAAGAGGAACTCTCTGCAAGCTCTGCTCTCACCCAAAATCTGAAGGCAGATCTTGGGAGAAAAGAAGAAGATTATGCTGAGCTGAAAGAGAAACTGACTGATGCCAAAAAGCAGATTGAGCAGGTACAGAAAGAGGTAGGTTATGTGAAAAGTTGTGTGGCCCTTCTCAGATGGGAAAGATCGTTTCTCATATCTAGAAAGTTTAGGTGCTAATTTTAGATCTGACCAGAGCATTTATCAACTTTGTAATATTTCTTGATGAGAATAGTTATTTTATAAAAGAAAATTTAGCCAGCACAAGCAAACTGGAGAAAGCCAACATCAAGAAAAATATGTGCGTTATGTGGGATTAGAATATTTCTGTGTCTGTTTTTTTGTTTGTTTGTTTGGTTGGTTGGTTGTTCTTCCTGGGTGTTGAACTGAGTGCCTTTACACTAAGCTATATCCCCTAACCCTATTTATTTTTTATTGTGAGACAAGGTTTTCCTAAGTTGCTGAGGTTGGGCTCAAATTTGAGATCCTCCTGCCTCAGTCTCACAGAGTGCTAAGATTACAAGTGTGTCTAGCATGCCTGTTTCTTTGTTTATTGTTTTATAAGTACTGTTCAATTCAAATTCTTCAAAAAAAAAGGTTAGCTTCTGTTGGAAGATAGTATTTAGGACAATCTGCAGTATGACTATTTATTTGTTTTTGAGACAAGATCTTGCTAAGTAGTACATGTTAGGCTTGAACTATGTAGCCAGGCTGGCATTTATCTTGCAGCATTTCTCCTGCTTCAGGCTTTGGAGTGCTGTTATTATAGTGTGCACCACCACACCTGGCTAAGTTTTCATTAAATTTAATATCTCCAAATTTGCAATGTGCAAAGTTACATTTAGGGAGACAGAAATCCTTCCCACTTTTCCCAGCCATCACACATTCCTCTTAGGCATCGAATGTTAACTACTTTTTTTCTCTATGCTTCTCCCTTCCTTCCTCTATCATTGGTCTTCTATAAAAAAAAGAAACTGTTTTATAAACTTTTTTTTAATAGTAAGTATGATTTAAAGATTATAATTTTTCTCATGGGGCTCTAAAGGACATCTTTGAACAAGTGCCTATGAATTTTAAACAAAAAGCAGTTATAATGGAAAAATATTTAATTTGCTTTATAAACATTTATTTTGTAGGTATCTGTAATGCGGGATGAGGAAAAATTACTGAGGACTAAAATAAATGAGCTAGAAAAAAAGAAAAACCAGTGTTCTCATGAAATAGATATGAAACAGCGAACAATTCAGCAGCTCAAGGTGACAGTTTTGTTTTAAAAGATGGCTTAAGTGCATCTGTTGGCATATTTTATTGTCTCATTAAATATTTGTTTTTAATAGCAAGTTCTGTTTTGACCATTGTTTTCCTTTTGTGGGGCTGTGGATAGAACTCATGGCCTCACCCTCAATTCTGTACCACCAAGGTACACACCCAGCAAGTCCATAGTAACTGACTTTTTTTTTGTTTGTTTGTTTGTTATTTGAGACAGGGTCTCACTAGGTAGTTGAGACTGACCTGGAACTCACTGTTTAGCCCAGATTGGTCTCAAACTCATAGTGATCCTCCTGCCTCCCAAGTGCTGGGATTACAGGCGTGCACCACCACACCCAGCAGTAACTGACTTTTAATGAATAGAATATGGAAAAGAAAGAATAGTAATTGCATACTCAGGAACCTAGCAGATATAACCTCAAACATCACCAGTACATCGATACCATATATACTTTCTGATTTAATATGACCAAAGTGCACATTCTTTTTGTGGTATTCTTCCCTCAAATTCATAACCTGTCTGTTCATGAGTAAATATCACACAAACACAAGAATGCTTTCCCTAATACTTGACTAATATAAAGTGTCAGAGTCATTGAAGACAATGTAAACCGAAAACTATCACAGATTGGAGGAAACTAAAGAGAAATGATGACTGTATGCAGTGTTATCTTGTGAGATTCCACGACTGAAAAAGGACAGCACTGAAAAAACTGGTGAATTGTGAGATTGTAATAGAGTTAATAGTATTGTATTAAAGTTAATTTTTGGGTTTTCGGTAAATGTATCAGGTAACATAACAGCAGGAGAAGCTGACTTAAAGTTTAAAATAAATTAACTTGGTATCTTTGCAAATTTTGTATGCATTAAAATTTTTTCAAAGTAAAATGTAAAATAAATAAAGTAGATATAACAAAAAAAGTGATAGTTGAAAAACTAAATCCCTTTATTGCAGTTATATTTTGCTTTATATCCGTTAAATGGATAAGGCAACTGATTTCCTTCTTTTGCTTTCAAATGAAGCAAATTAATGAGCATTCATTTGTAAATACATGGTTTGAATTCTTAGGGAAATATAATCCTAATAAAGCAGTATGTACTTTCATAGTGAGATGCCTCAGATTTCCAGGTTCTGCAGTGAGTCATCCTAAGATTTTTAAAGGTAGGAAATAGTGATGAGGTCAGATGAGATTGAGTGTAAAATTTGGATTATCTGATAGGTTAAAATTAGAAGTTACAGGATTTCTAGTTCCATAATTTAGTCTTGCCCACTGAGACTATTACTTTTTCTAGACTTCTTTTTTGTTGTTGTTACTTTTTCTGTACTTTGAGCTCACTGATAAGGAACTTTTTAATGGTTTTGTTTCTTCTACATCAAGTACATAAGTAGATGCCTATTCTTGTTTTTGCATTTTGTGATGTGTGAGAAATCTTAAGTAAAATTTTGTGAGAAATTAAAGTGACTGAGTCATAGCTTAGATTAAAAGTATACCTTGTTTTTGGTTTATTTTCTTGTTTCTAATTTTACCATGACTTTTTACCCAAGGGAAAAGAAACTTGGAAGCTTGAGACTGATAGCCTTTTATGAGACTGATTTCAGACTTAGTAATCCCTGTTTTCGAGTCATTATTAAATATTAAATGTTTAACCTACATTTGTATTTAATTCATATTCTTTTATTTTGTAGGAGCAGTTAAGTAATCAGACAGTGGAAGGAGCTGTACAGCAATATGAGAGAGTATGCAAAGGTCAAGAACAACTATGAACATTTAGTACTAAAATTACTGCAAAGCAGTTGTGATAACAGTGAATATTTTCGGGCTGGGGATTTAGCTCAGTGGTTCCAGCTCCTGCCTCATAAGCACAAGGACCCGAGTTCGATCCCATTACCCACCCCCCCCAAAAAAAAACAATGAATATTTTCCTTTGAAAATCCTTTATTTTTATTAACACGTTTGCAGTACATAACTGTTTACATTTATCGTGGAGAGTTGCTACACGTACATCTGAATTCTGTTTTACCCTTTGGAAATCCTAAATTGAAGTGAAGGCAATATAACATAGAACTTTATGAAAAGAAAAAAGCATTAATTCTGACAAATAACTTAGCAACTTATTATAGTTCATTCTCAGTGGGCTGGGGACCTCCCTCTGTGGTAGAGCACTTTCCTACTATGCACAAGACCTTGGATTTGATCCTTGGCACCACAAAATAAATAAGTAAAATTTACTTTGGGAAATAAAACAGTGAGAAACAACTTTGATTTCTTGGTAATGGCCAAGATTTTGTGAAAATGTCAAAGTTAGATATATCCCAATAACTGGAGTAGATTTTTAGAAAGATAAGACTGTGTAAAGAACATACTTCAGGTGAAATACAATTTTTTAAATTTTGATCCTTGGCACCACAAAATAAATAAGTAAAATTTACTTTGGGAAATAAAACAGTGAGAAACAACTTTGATTTCTTGGTAATGGCCAAGATTTTGTGAAAATGTCAAAGTTAGATATATCCCAATAACTGGAGTAGATTTTTAGAAAGATAAGACTGTGTAAAGAACATACTTCAGGTGAAATACAATTTTTTAAATTTTAGTAGCATGTGTTTGTAGTACAGTGATTATATTCATTGTAGGGAATTGGTACATATACAAAACATATCAACCCCCCTCCTTTTTATTATGCCATCATCAAAATAAATTTTGTCTTGCTTATAAGTCATTTATAAGTCATTGTAAAGTTAATTATATATACAGATTAACAATCAAGCTGATAGGCCAAAAACATATAAGACAATTATACTAAATCAAAGCACACTTTTCCATGCATTGTCCATTCTTGATAACAGTACTTTTTTTGTGATTCAAATCTTAAGTGCCGAATTATGCTTTTTAAAATTAAACTGTATTCATCTTTTATTTGAAATATTATAAAATTACTTCTACAGATGATATTTACCTATTTCTGTTCTTAAATTATGCAGATTCCTCCACCTCATCCCTCACCCCTTTACTTCTTAGTTATGTGAGTGGTAGAGATAGGATGTAAACCCAGGATCTGTGTCATTCTTTAAGTGTCAGACTTTCCTCACTAATCTATGCTCTATTTACTTGACCAACAAAAAAGAAGATGTGAGACAACTAAATTACTACTTATTTAGATAACCTGTACATTGGTGTGTCAAATATGTATGAATAATGTTGATGTAAAAATGTATCTGTATATAGTCCTGTTTTCTTTTGCCCTGCCTCACTATTGTCTTTTAAAATCTCCTATTTCTGTAATATTTTTAAGGTTCTCTTTTACTTTGGCCTCTTTGTTATTGCTGGCAAATATGGATAGATTTCAGCTGTTCTAAAACAGTCCCGTGGCTCAAGATCCCACATAATTTTTATCATATTTTAATTTTTCCTCTGATAAATTTTGAGAATTGTGGCATGAGCTCTCTGACTACTTTAATCTGACTTCTCTTTTCCATGCTCTTCAAACTTGTTCCCCAGTCACTTGAAACCTAAATACTTTCAAATCTATTAGCTTTTTGTAGTCTCTGCTTTGTTTTTCATGTTGTTTTGATGTCATTGACTCCTTTCTTTTTCTTGACTTTCAAGTAGTATTATAGCTGCCAGCTGTATGTTACTAAATGTAAAGGTAGCATGTAGCTCCACTGCAGTGAATCTCCATTTCCCCAGCTCTTGTGATCTGTCCTGTGCTAGTTCTCTCAGCCTCAGCTGCTCTGGCAAACTTTCCAGTTACATATCATGTTCTTTTTCCTGTTAATCTTCTCCCTTCAGAGTTAATTTGCTCTTGTGATTTCAGTTGTGTGTGTGTGTGTGTGTGTGTGTGTGTGTGTGTGTGTGTGTGTATGGAGGTTTTTTTTGTTTGGTACCGGGGATCGAACTCGGGTCCTTGTGCTTGCGAGGCAGGCAGCAGAACCACTGAACTAAATCCCTGGCCCGTGATTTCAGTTGTATATTAAACATTATCCTACAACCAAAGAAATAAAAATAGCACCTTCAGCTCTTAAAGCTTTGTCTGGCCACTAAATTTCTATTTAAATATTGAATATATTTCATTTTGTTGTCTAATTAATTTTTTTAAAATTAAGATACACAGTACTGTAAACTCTTTAAAAAGTGTATATATGCTTTAAAAGTTTAGTGGTTTTTTTGTATAGTCATCATCATTCCAGTTGAGAACATTTTTGTTGCTTCAAAAAGAAACCTTGTACCTGTCATTCCATCCTCCCTTGATCCCTTCCCTCTAGCCTCTGGCAGCTGCTAATCTACTCTCTGTGTCTGTGGGTTTGTCTGTTATAGGCATTTTATGGTAATTAATTCATGCACTATACGGCTTTTAGTGTATGACTTTTCATTTAACGTAGTACTTCCAGTTTTCAAACATAATGTGTGTCATTGTTTTTTGTGATTGAATAATACTCTGATTTACAGAGATATTATTATAAGTTGATGAACATTTGGTTTGTTCCCACTTTTTACTCCTCCCCCCCCTCTGGTACTGGGGATCAAACTCAGGACCTTGTTCTTACAAGGCAGGCACAGTGCCACTGAGCTAAATCCCTGGCTCCTGTTCACACTTTTTGACTTTTATGAATACTTGTGTGCATTGCTTTTGGGTAAACATGTTTTCTGATTTCTTGGGTTGGTATTATACCTGAGAGAGTAACAGTTTTCTACAGTAGATGTACCATTTTACATTTTGACTAGCAATAGATCAGAGCTCCATTTTCTCTATATCATTACCATTAATTTTTCAATAAGACTGCTGTAACAAAGTACCATACACTGGGTGACTTTAGACAGAAACTTATTTTCTTGCACTTACAGTGCCTGGTGGTAGAAATATTGACAGGATTTTGTTCCCTCTGAAGACTTTGGAGAGGAATCTTTGCCTTTTCTAGCTTCTGGTAGTTGATGGCAACTGTTAGTACTTTTGGACTTATGGCAGCATAGTTGAATCTTATTCCTCTGTCTTTACATGAGGCTTTCCCTCTGTGTATCTGTCTTCTCTCTATTAGTTGTATCTAAAATATCCTCTTTTTATAAGCACAGGAGTAACCATTAGATTTAGGGCCTACCACATTGCCGTGTGAGCTCATTCTTAATTTGATTACATTTTAAAAAATGTGTTTCTAAATAAGATCACATGCATACTAGGTACACATTAATTTTGAGGGACATTAACCCAACATCCTACTGGATATAAAATGGTATGTTATTATGATTTTAATTTACATTTCCCTAATGATTATAATGCTATTGTGCATTTATTCATATACTATTTACTATTTTCTTTGGAATAAAATATGTTCTCATCCTTTGCCTACTTTTTTTTTTTTTTTTTTGGTACCAGGGATCGAACTTGAGCTTGCAAGGCAGGCGGTGGAACCAGTGAGTTAAATTCCCGGCCCTTTTGCCTACTTTTAAAATTAGGCTATTTGTGCTTTTATTATGGAGTTGTGTTTTATATATATTTATATTAGACCCTTAACAGACTTTTGTTTATTAATAGTAATAGTTTAATCATATTGGAAATTGAATTTTATCTGAAAAGATTCTTTATCATCCATCAATCTTTGCCATCATTTAAACACTGATTTTTATGTCAAATATATCTTAGGGCCTCATATATGCCAGGTAATATTCTAGGCACTCGAAGATATAGCAGTGAACATGACAAATTTATGACTGAATGGAATTTGTATTCTATTGTAGTTAGTAAAAATATATTTTAGTTTTTGAAGAACTTAAGAAAAATTGGATCCTTATGTTATTAATTTTTAAATATTTCCCTCAAATGTTTAGATCTAAATGTTAAAGAGAAAATGATTAAAGACATGCGAATGACACTTGAGGAACAAGAACAAACTCAAACAGAACAAGATCAAGTGCTTGAGGCTAAATTAGAGGAAGCAGAATGGTTGACCACAGGTAAAACAAGTTTGCTTATGTCTATAGCTGGGCATAATGGTGCACACTGTAATCTTGGGAGGCCAAAGCAGGAAGATCAGTGCAAGTTTGAGGCCAGCCTGGATTACATACCAAGACCCTATCCCCCTCAAAAAAGATTGCTTATAGTATCTTAAAGCACAGTATTTTATTTCTTTCTCTCGTTTTTTGGTTAAGATTTCTTCCCTTCTTAAAATGATACAGAATTTATAATAATTCATAATGTTAGCTGGTCATGGTGGTGCACACCTGTAATCCTAGATCTTCGGAGGCTGAGGCAGGAGGATTGTCATAAGTTGAGGGCCACCCTGGGCTACATAGCAGTTCAAGGCCATTATGAACTACTTAGTGAGACCATGTATCAAAAAGAAAAAGTCATAATGCTAAAGTATTCGGTGTATTCTTTGAATGTACTGTCACTTAACCATTTTCCACTATAATACGGATCTTCTTATTGAAGTAAAATTATGTGCAGTAAAGAAAGAAAACCAGTATTTCATTATAATTTACAAATATTAAGGGTTCAAGTAACTTCCTGTGTTTTCAAACATTAAATATAAGCTTTCATCTGATTTTTACATCTGTCAAATTTTTGGTATTACCTTGTATTTATCTCAATAAATACTGTGATTCTATTACCTTCAGAAAACTGTCAGAGCTTTTTCAGATTGTATAGAAACATAGCACTTAATTTATTAATAATTAAGCTATGTGTGTTTCTTATAGAATGAACAAGAAATTTATTTGTTTTTGTTTGTGTTTTTTATTTATTTTTTTGGTACTGGAGATTGAACTCGGGACCTTGTACTTGCAAAGCAGACGTCAGAACCACTGAGTTAAATCCCCAGCCCAGAAATTTATTCATTTTAATTCTTTTGTGGTGCTGGGAATCAAACCCAGGGCCACATGCATACCATGCAAGTGCTCTATCACTGAGCTATACCACCTGCCTTAGAAATTTGAGAATTAGAAAGTCCAGGGATGTAGGTCAGTGGCACATTGTCTGCCCGCAAGTGCAAGGTCCTGAGTTTGATCCCCCGTATCACACACACACACACACACACACACACACACA